CTTGTATCTACTGAGAGAGTATCATTCCTTATGCACATCTGATGGAAAACCAGGATTGCCAAAAGTAGAACACCAACGCCACCTCATGCCAACAAAAACACGTAACATCAAAATGGGTTTGTAGCTCAAACAGGGAGACCTCCCAGGCAATGACCTCCTACCAGTCCCATTGGGCCCAGGGGTCTCCCTGTTGAAATACACACCCATTATAAGGAAAACGTCTTAACCAATGGATTTCGTTTGTGTGTTTTCCCAAAGCTCTTGCCGTCTTCCGATTCAAACCCCCCCATCCCAGTCTTCCGTTCGCTTCAGCAGCTGCGCCTTGTTCCATGGAACGCCCATGGGCTCAGAGGGCAAAAGTGGCCCAGCTGGCTTGGTGGCCCTGGACACCGGTCGACAGGACAAAACCTCCGGTTTTTCACACCATCCCTACAAGTCCAGTCTGACCCAGTAAAACCTGGTCTTTTACCTCCTCAAGTATTGGTTTTGTATGACTATCTCCAGTAAAATGAGCTCTTTGACTTGTAGGGCATGGATTCCATTCTTTGACTTTCAAGCGATTCGAGGTCGACCGTCACCGTGACCGGGATTCCATTGGTTTATAATGGAACCTCCAAAGGTTCATCTTGCTTCGAAGAGGTTCAGGCCGACCAACAAAGTTCAGGCCATGGCCAGGGTCTAAGGCTTTGGAGTGGATGTGGTGACCCGCTGTAAGTACATGCAAGTGCTCAAGCCAAGTACAACAGCAAGTACCTAGACCCTGGAGACCTGGAAAAGACCTGGACTCTGCCATCCAAAGCTGCAAACGATCTCCACCGAAGCTCCTCAGATCCTCCACGGAATTGTTCGGAAGGAAGGAAACCCTTGCTTTCATCGCCAAAACGGATGATGTTTCCTCTAGATGCTCTCCCTTTTAAACCGAATCTGTGATGATATTTTTTGGGGTGTCATGGGGTCATGGAAGCATCTTCTCGGGTGGCAGGAACAGGAATGGCACAAAGGTGACAACCTTGAGGATCCAAACTGTGGAAAGGTCTGGGGTCCTCTGGCGGTTCCCACGGTGGTTGGGAAATGGATCCCACCAAAGGAATAGCCTATAAACCCTAGGGCTCCAACCACCTCCTGAGAAGATGGTTTGGGTGGACTTGGGGGGGTCTAACCACCTTCTGAGGATGTGGTTGGAGCCCTAGGGAAAAGTGCAGTTCGGCAATTTTTCAGCACCGAAGTAAAGGAATGTCCTGTTTTTAGACCCACGGACCATGCATCAAATCCCAATTCATGGGAACTGGAATTCTTTGGTCTAGTTCTAGAAACGCGTGGAAGAAACAGGTCCATGGGCTGGTCCATCTTCGCATCTTGTGGGTTGTTGGGGACATCGCTCCGGACTCCCCCAATAAAACAGAGCGCCGTCAGAACCCCGACGAACCGCCCCACCTGTGCAGCGCGCGGTGCAGCGCGCGGCGCTCGCCAGGGCCGAAGAAGTGTGGCGGCGACACGAAGAGCCATGTCGCTGGAAGAAGCCTCGGGTGAATTGGTGCCAGGTGAGGTGAGGCATTCGGAATACACAGGATCCAGAGTTACGTCCTGAAGACAACTCATCTGGCACCCGCATCTGGCCGCTCAAGAACCATCCCAAAGGATCATGACGTCCCGGATTTTGATCGATGCTTTTCTTGATCGATGGGAGGCCAATCCGGGTGCAAGGATGAGTCACTGACTCACTGACTCACTCCTAAGACTCCTAAGATCGATCCCTTCAAAATGGCTTCAGTCCTGGAGTCTCAAAGTACCTCGGAAAATGGGTACAAGTACCATGGTGTTTTCTAAGGTACTTTGGAGGGTCCAGGGTGATGGGTTCTATAATACGTTCTAACATCTGACAGAGTTGACGGCCGTTTCTTCATGTTTCTTCTCCCTGGACAGCACTGTCCACCAGTTCTGAGTGGGGAGGGTCCCCCAATCCCGCAAAGGTTTGGCAGGTGAAACCACTTGCTTCAAGCCATCCACTCAAGGTGTGGAGTTCGGAACTTCCTCCTTCGCCCCGGTTGGTGGAGATCAACTCAAAGGCATCTTCCGACCCAATGAGTTTGGTTCGGGAAGACCAGGAAACACCCAGCCAGGGGCGGGTATCTCTGTATACAGTATCCCTAGGGCTCCAGTCGTACCTTCTGAGGAGGTACTTGGAGGTGTAGGGTATATCAAAATACACACTCATCTGTCGGTGACACCACACCGACCGGGCACGAGCGGCACGAAAACGGCGTCAACCGGTGGAACGAGTGCATGGCAGGTCGGACGACCATCGGGCGCACCCCGAAGGTTTCGAGTGGGTCATCGCAGCTGCAAGCCCCTTCTCCAGCTCACATCCCAAAGCGAAACAGAAAGATGCATCAATACACTCCCTAATAATACACTCCATGGTGGGTACATGGAGAACGCGGCCGGCCCCGTTTTTGGATGACCATGTTTCGAAAACCAAACGGGTGGTTTTCCATGTAACCCATGATGATTCTATGGACTGCACATGGAAGAAAACACGAGAAACTTACATCTTACAGTCCAGCGGCCCCAGCGGAGAGTCCAGCCGGCCACAGTCCGGGGGGGTGCAGCGCCTGCCAGTGTTCCCAATCTGGACTAGCTGGACTCTCCCAAGATCTGTTTTGACCCCGCTTATCCACGCCATGTCCGAAGCTGCCAAGTGTCGATAGAGCCAGGCAAGTCCGAAGGACTCTTCGACCACCTCGCGGAGCCACTGCTACCCCAGCTGAGCAGCTGAGCTACTGCTACACGGCTGAGCATTGAATGGATTTGGGCATTTCATGATGGGAAACTCCGGATGCCAGGTTGCTAAGGTGAAACGAACTCTTTGAACTGTACTGCAGGATGTGTTTCAATCTTTGTTCTCATCCCCCTGGCATCTCACTCATCTTTGGCACCTATGTGAGGTCCTGGAGGTCGGCTACGCACCCAATGGTTTTGTAACACACGGCCTATGTTTTAAGTAATCCACTTGGACTCAAGGACTGGAAAATATGTCAAAGTGAAGCTGGACCTTCAAAGGGGTGTTCGATGGAGATCCCTAAGTAGTGTAGGGGCTTCGAGCCAGGTGACCCGAATAAAAGTCTATGTCTTTAATCTCTGTCTTGTTGCTTCAAGGTATGAAAAGGAACCTGACGGTCTTGTTGTGCAGCACGAAGGAACATCATCTAGAACGACCGTGTGAACACGGGCCAGTGGAAACCCATCAAACTGTAGAAATTGAGAACACACCCAGCTTCTTCAGTGCGTGACCTTTTTCCCCTGAAACTGACCCCCTATCCAGGCCTCTTCCTGACCTCAACCCGGGATCTGAGTCTGGGTCACTTGAAAGAACCAGGACCATGAAGCTCTACTGGGACTGAGAGATCTCCTTACGTGACATCCCTCAGGGGGGTTGTTAGCTGGTCAGCGAGCGTTTCAAAACTACTTGATGGGCGATTCTGCCAACCCCAATTCGTCCCGTTGGAAGGTCGAATGAAACCCAGCTCCACCGACAGAAATGGCCATACTTGGGCCACCAGGGCCACTCACTATCTTTGGCAGGTGTTCCACCTCGATATTTTCAGGGATATCGTCTCTCAACCGAAGTGGCAGCTGTTTCCACTCCCTGTCCCCCTCCTCTGCCTCGTGTCTCCATTTCTTATAGTCTGCTCGGAAGAAAGTTGCAAAGAATTCGAGCTTTCGTCAGGTCTAGCTGACCGTTTTCATAAGTATTGGCAGAGGGCTGGTGAGGATCACGAATCCAGGGGTCACGAAGCCTTTGTGGTCGTTGATCATCGTGCCTTCTCAGGAGTGGAGCTTTCTGAAGTTCAGTTCCGAACGGAGTCCTATCTGCGTGCCATCGAAGTCGTAAGGGGCGGGATTGAATGACTCCTGCTTGCATCTGATCTATCTGCGGACATGTTGAGACATGACATGCAGTGCACACTGGAACCTCCCCGTTCTCGGGGCCAAAAAACAGCTGAACGGGGCAGCGTGCTTTGGCGCAAGCAAACAAGGATGTAAGTGGATCCATATAGTCCCAACATATCCCAACATGTTATGCATGTGTAGCTCAAATAGGGAGACCTCCCAGGCGTTCCAACCCCCCTGGGTTCGGTTTGGACAATAGATCAGGAAATACCCATCTTGGGCCAGCAATTGTCCCGATCTCCCCATTAGAATACACACGCAGGTTCTGATATTCTTAGCTCCCAGCTATGCGCCCATCCACTGGGAATTCCAGCCTTTTCAAAATGTGAATCATGAAGAATGAAGTCTGGCTTGGTCGTTGGATGTTGTTGGACTTCACACGCTGGTGTGAAGCTGCCGGGTGACGTCGTTACTTGGCTCCCAAACAAGGACGGGCCGCTGGAGCTTGGGGCCCCACCAGGTGGATGTGGGGGTCGCACCGAACGTGGCGCCTCCAGGATTGTCTCGTGAGGCGTCCGCCAAAGCGAAAAAGTCCGCCCAAGCGAACCAAAGCTCCGCTATATCGCGGTTTTTCAGTGATGTTTCATGATTTTAATTTAGAAGGGAGTCGGTGATAGGGAGTCGGTGATAGTCGGTGCAGCAGCCAGGAATTTGTGACATGTCAGCAGCCCCATGAATCCATGGGACCAAAGGTTTCTACCGACATTGACCCATTGAAGACATCCTTAACCACCCATATACCAGGACCCTCCGCTTGAGGTGTCTATAAACAGCCTCTTAGAGGTGAGTCGAGGTGTCCAAAAACCACCGGACTTGGAGGGTGCTGGTAGAGAGGATGGCACCGGATGTCCAACAAAAGCGCCATGTTATCGATGTGGGGATCAGTATCTATCTGGTTGGGGACCATATAACCATCATTGGACCCGACCACTGACCCTGCGTGGCAGGAGTAGCAGGGTTTTGGAGCCTCAACACCTTCACTGGCTGTTGACCCGAACCACAATACTCTCACACACACACATCCACACCACCAGGAGCACCGTTCGTGCCTGGTACTGGCTGTGACCACCAGGATGCCGTGGCACTGGAAGTGGGCGCAGCGCTACCGGCAGGCAGCAGCCCTGAGTCCACGAAGAGCGAAAAGTCCTGGCCGCACATCAGGAGAGGTTGGAGTGGTCTACGAGGTGAAAACACATGATTAGAAAGTAGGATTTTGGGCTCACAGATGATGTCATGGTTCCTGCCAATACAACAGATTTGAACATGTTGTAACGAGGACTTTAGACTACAAAGCGAGGTCAACCATGTGTTTAATGGTCTTTCAAAAGGCTAACAGGTATACAGTATGTTCTTCCAGAACTTCCGGTTTAAAAAGCCTTTGAACATCCTGAAAATCTCTACGCGACTCTACTTGCCACTCATCCAAGCTAGTTGCCTCTCATCCAAGCTGATCTCAAACCTAGACCCCAACGATGGGATTCTCGTCCTTCAAGGCTTCTTCAGCCAAGTGTGCCGCCTCTCGGTTGCACCGCTCCAACAGCAGCGGCTGCTTGTTCCAGGCCCGCTGCAACTCGTGGCAAAGGGGTCGCAGCACATGGGACCAGGACATGGGTCACTTGAGAGAAGTAGCCAAAATGACGAGCTCATGTCGATTCCATCTTGAGCTCCCAGTCTTTAGGTCACGGATCATCGTCTGCAGCAATGTTTTTCATGTCCCAGCATGTTAAATCAACATGTTGAGAGGGACATGCAGGAAGATACATCCAGAAAAAAAGGTTCATGTTAACGCTCTTCATTGACATCGCCCATGCCCATGTTAGCTCGGAGGACCCCAAATCGACAAATATCTTGCTTTTGCCTTGGCATCACTTCTACCTGTGCAGGAAAAAGGTGCATAGAATAGAACTATACTAGAATAATATGTTTGAAGAATGGGATACCTCAGCCACTCACAGTTCTGTTTCGTCCAACTTCTGTGCGTTCGTGCTTTCCATCACTTCCACACTGCTGTGTCAGCTGGAGCAAGGCGAAAGCGGAAGATTGGAGAATTCATAACCCCTTGAGCCCATTGAGGTTGAGTGGCTTCCTTCGAAGAATAGACACGGATTGAACCCATTCCGTGGTGAATACTTAGGTCACTCAAGACATGTGATCGTCGTTCGCTTCCATGTCCACTTGCCACGAAGCTGCTTGCCACGAGCTCTTCACTCGTTCGCTCTTCCGCGGTCCACGGAGCTCTTCGGGTGATGCATGGGGTGAATGCGTTCACATGGTGTTCTTCTTCTCCCTCTCCGACTCTCAAACGCCACCAGGAAGCCTCTTAAAGATCGGTCTGGACTGGAGGGTTGTCTGGGTTTTCTCACCGGTCACGACTCAAGCGGCGAAGGGAGCGAGCCGATTCGACTCCCTGGAAGGTGCTGGAATCATCAGCTGTGACATGGACAAAAACCATTTCTAGAGGGAACAGGAATGAACATCATGGTAATGATATAAATGGTCATCCGAGGGGGCATACCATCCACTTTTTTCCATGATGCTTCAGGTACTGAATCATGCAATACAACACTTCCTGCTCCCCCAAACCCTCACCCTGGCAGCTCCCACCCGACATCCACCCCCTGGCTAGGCCCGCGCACATCCGAAGCATGCACTCGCTGGCTTGCTCCAGCAGTGGGTTTCGGTACCTCAGCTCGGTCAAATGCTTTCAATCTCCAGTCTACAGCCATGCCAAAGGTGTCATGGAACACCTGGAGACCTTCCCCTCAGCTCGGACGCAGCTTTGCACACCTTGGGCGCCAGGCTCCAGGTGGAAGGATTCCACAAAGCGTTCCTCCTGAGAGGCAAAAGCCAGCAGTCGATGCAACATCTGTACAATTCTACCATTCCAGGTTAGCGAGAGAGTGTATAGGTCCGAATATTGTTCTGGCAACTCTTGGGTGGCGATTTGTTTTGCTGCCTGAAAGCCTTGCGAGGTGCTACACAGTTTCGCAACTTCAAGGTGAACCTGCGCCAGTTCTTCCATTCAAAGCACCAAGATACCCAATGTGAATGGTTCAAAATGAAGGCGATAGTGTGGAGGAAAGTATGTGCATGCAGTATGAGGTGAAAGGCATGTACTAATGAGAATGGAAGAATGAGATTCTCATCTAAGGACTCAAAAAAACATGATCGAAATTGAAGAATCTTCAAACACGAACTGTCTTGGAAAGTCTGGGACTATTTGTGGATCGGGCCAGGGGTGGTTGATTAGCTGGCTTTTAAAAGGACCAGGAGTGCCAGGGAGTTCGGTTAGACCCCCAAACGCGAGAGGTCATGTGTTGCGGAGGACGCGCAGCTAGCTGGGCCCCGAAGCTGGTCATTGTTCGTTCAATCTGTTATCAGTGGTTGCTGGGTCAGGCTTTAAAAGAAAAACATTTCCCAATCACTCCTCCGACATCAAGTAGACCTCGATGTACCTGGCATGGTGATGTTGGATGGGAATGTTTTGCCAATGATAGGCTGACCCACTGGAGGAGTTCCAAGTGGTTTCAGAAGTGTTGCCAGAGCATGCTGATTCCAGCCAGGCCGTTGACTGGCAGGGCAGCCAAGGACATGATGCAATAATACACTTCTTGGACTTCATGTCACGGGAAATCTGTATCCCAAAGATATTTCCAGCGAAGAGCCAAAAGTGGAGGTTGGAGATGAGAGCACGAGAGCACGTGGAAGTGCTTCAGCGGTTTGCCTCTGCAAAGGCAACCTCCTGAACAGTTACCGGAAGATTGTGTGTGAACAGTTACCCAAGGGCATCGCCGGTTGCCGAAGCCTGTCAGTAGTGTTTTCCTAGGGAATCTACTGTGGACTACAAAACCAGGTCAACCATTCTTGTAATGGTCTTTGAAGGCTAGGGATCAAAATCCATTGTCAAAGCTTGAACACTATGACGTCCTCATGGAATTCAACCGCCGTAAAGATGTGCGTCATCCAAATGCTGACTCATGCCAAAAAACATGAAGGCTCATGCGTTGTCAATATAATATTCTCGGACAAATGTCCGGAGTCTGTGGACGTTTCACATGTGAACACTCAGATCACCCACATCGCCCAGTCTACGCTGCCACCACAGCAGCTTCCCCCATCACCCACATGAGCCCCTCTTAGACTCGCGGCCTGGCGTGCATCCAAGACATATGGAGAGCCTTCTGTGCCCGAAGGGCGGTCTCCTCCAGGGTTCGGATTTCGCATGAGCAGGGCTTCCGAGCACTCAACCACTTCTTCCCTCAAACGATCGATGATCGGAAGCTCCAATTTGGTACAATCCCGTGTACAACCCCAGAGAGGCGTGACCCCATCAACTCGTTTTGCAGGTCATGCCGTTTTGATTGACTGAACAAACCATCCAAAGAGCGAATTCCGTGGTCGACTGTCTCAGAAATCCCAGTGACTGATCAAAACCAAAACACCCTGGACCCCCCGACTTCAGGGTGGTAGACATGGGCACCCCGAATGACCTCAACATGAGGGGCTATGAATGGACACCCGGAATCCGTGGTGCTGGACTGGATTATATTGGATTTGTTCGGATTTCCCTGGATTGATCCATCATGTTCACATGATGTCCCTGTAAAGATCCAGTCCTACCGAACCTCAGGTTCGGTATGACTGGACTCGACCCTGGCACCGTCTCATGTCTCAGTGTCGAACACATCACCATACCTCAAAGGGTGTGTGGATCCCTAGCCTAGGGATGTATGGAATAGCAACCTAATATATATACATAGGGTCTTATGGAATGTATGCATACAATTACAGTGTTCCATACATGGATGTTCTGGAATACGAGAAACCAACACATACCAACACATGTGGCAAAAGGACATCCGCGGAATCTTGCACTGATTGGTGGAGATGGATGTGGATCCTCTGCACTACCTACACAGCTGTGGACCATTGGTGCTGAGACACGGCATTTGCAGTTGAAAATTCCATGTCCTGGTCCTACTCCTCCAGAAATCCTGCACCTTCCGAACTCGATGACTTCGGAAAACCAATGTACCGGTTCCTGTGTGACATGGTTCACGCCGGTGGAACGCCCGATGTGGTCTTCCCTAGCTTCCAGGTCGGTTTGACACGGATATCGTCCCTATGAAGAACACTTCCACCCGTATTTACCTGAAATTGATACATGGAAGCGAAAAAGGTCTGGGGAATGGATGGAAGTTACACTTGAGATCACTGAAGGGAACTACCCCACCTGGAACTGCAAACAAGGCGTCGCTCCTGGTCCTGCAATTTCACGAAAGCCTCGAAGGAGGACATGCAAACTCAAGCAGAAAACAACCATCGAGCTAGCCAATGAGCTAGCTCGCCAATGAGCTAGCCATGTGACAAGCGTCAACTGTTTACCTGAAAGATACGAACAAATCGCATGAATCACCCAAGTAAAGGTTCAAAGTATCGGTTCTGGCTCCTACGGGACCGGCAGTTCCATGTCTGAAGAGCTGCATGGAAAATAGGACGAAAATGCTGCATCAACGATACTACTTGAGATGAAGCATGAATATAGATTTCAATTCGTACGCAATATATATATATATATTGCAGTCTTTAGTAGCTGCAGGTAGGTTCCAGGTAGTCCAAGAGTTCTTTTTCCAGGACTCCCTGATTGCACTAGTACGTACTCTGATTGCATCCACCCCCCCAGTGCACGACCTTTGTTGCAGACTACCCTAAGAATCCTTCCTGGGCTCGACACCGAAACGCAGGGGTCTGGACCTGAACCAACCAAACCCCGGGCCCGGATTCGCAGCGGGGGTCCACTCCGGCCACGGGAGGTGGAGTCCTTTTTGAGACGTTGCGCAGTCTTGGAGCCTCCAAATCCATCCCAAACTCCACTCATTTCAGACGCTTTTTGGATGGGTACAGCATGGGGGGTCAAACAGGGTGAAACGACCAAACCTGTAACATTTGCCTTTGAGGTCTTGGTCGCTGGTCGAACATCCTTTGAACGCAACATATACAAACCTCTTTAGAACCTAAGTGTGTGGGGACATAGTAAATCATAGTAACTCATATAGTACAACATGCACGAATGTATGACTGGTTGTTGGCTTCAACTCAGAAGAATATATGAGTCAGTAGGGATAATATCAATATTCCCAAGTAAAGGTTGCAATTAAACATCGTATCATAACAACGAAAACTAACTATGTCTGGTCTGTTTTGCGAACTTTATTTCGGGTCGATCGGCGGTCGCCCAATCTGTAGAGGTCGCCTCACCGTTGCCATAGCCAATGAGGGACCCCTGGCTGTGCTTGGACATGATCACATCTGCCTGGCGGTTTCAAGTCAAAGGCTCTGCCAAGGACCCACAGAAGAACCACAGCCCGCAGACTCACCGATGGGGTTTCGTGGATTGGCGCAAGATTATATTGCATGAAACATCATGGAACATTGAGAGCCCCCAGAAGGGGCAGAAGTGTCTTTTTCCATCCGTTGCACCCCATCAGTGTCCTAACTGGTCCTATGTCTTCATGTGAAAGGGTTGGCCCTATACATGAACATCCACTTTGTTTCAGACATCGTGACCTCGACGATGTGGATCTTCACATCCAGTCTCACGCGTTACCGTTTCAACTTGAGAGACCACCGT